GATTCCCAGAATGCTATGAAAAAAGTGGGAAGTGCTAACAAGTCAGGTGACTGATGTCGTCAGGACATTCTCCCAATAGCATTCTGGGGAACATAGCCCAGACATGAATCTTCATTTTGTCTGGAGTCCCTGCCCTATCACACCACCCAAGGTGCTGACAACAAACAAGCTGCTTCTCATTACAGCACTGCTGAGCTATTGTGCCGTGCATCATTACAGTAGTTTTCTTTCACATAATCTGGGTTGTACATCCCCAGCGGAATGAAGGTCCAGTCCAATCAGATTTTCTGCTGTGACAGAGGGGAATGCCATGATTACATTGTTCTTGTGGGCCGTAAGAACTCTGCAGTCAACACTCCGCTGTAGTCTCAGGCCAGGGGCTCACACAGCTCCTGCTGCTCCTTGCAGGCACTGCAGCTGAGATTGGATGATTATGGACAGGAAATGGAAGACCTCAGGTTGAAGATGCAAGACTACAGCTCCGATGCTACAAGAACACAGACCCTGCTGGAGTCCCAGGTATACAGTGCTGATAGGTTTAATTCAATTCAACTTTATTTCTCGTTGTACTTACATGGGTGCATTGTATAGCGAAAAGTGTCTCATTAGTCTCACAGGTGCAGGAGACAAGACAATAGACAAAAATGCCATAACAATAACAGTGTAAACAACAGTATGGTGCCGGTGCAAAACTGTCAAAAATGTACAAATACGCAAACAGTGAAAGTATGCAAACAGGAAAAAACAGTGCAAAAAAACTGGAAAAACCTGGGCTGAGCAGGGCGAGACCGTGTGCGTCTGTGTGCGCCGGCAGGAGAAGGAGATCCGCGAGCAGCAGGAGAGCTGCCACCGCGCGACGGCTCAGGCCAAGAGCTGGGAGGACAAGGCCAGGCAAGCAGAGGCCGAGGCCAGCTCCCTCCGCCTGGAGCTGCTGAGCGGGGATTCGGAGAGGCGCCGGCTGAAAGACAAGGCTGAGGCCCTGGAGGGGTCCCTGGAGGAGGTGAGGGGTCTCTGGACACCCGGCCTGTGCTGGGTCGAGAGGCAGCAGAAGGCCAAGACTTGTCCAGCTCCGATTCTCCTAAGGAATTCAGGGTCTTCACAGGATGTTCAGAAATGTTCTTAGATATCCCCATGTCATTTTGTTTGCTCATTTTTAGCATGTGAGGATATAATAGTACTAGATAATAACATTTTCCAAATCAAAGAAAATTACAATTTCAATAAATCATTTGAAAGGAAATTACAGGGTAATGCACTGAGAATTCAAGACGTATACGTAGGCAGCCTTTTCTGGACAGGATTCTATGTGGGGAAACCTGCCTTCTTCTCAGAGGTTTTGAACTCTTTAAATGTTTGGGAGTGATCAGAAATGAAAGGTGGATTTTTCTTTTTAGCACAAAATGAGGTTCTTTGGACATACATTTTCAGTGTTTTATAGACCTGTGTTGTAGCTGTGATATAAATTTATTATTTTTTTAAATTAGAGGTCAAAACAAAGTTTCTATTAGGCCCTAACTTGATTAGAAACCAATTGGAATTTGAACATCAAAAAGGATATACAGTAAAGTGGCAGAGCATTTTTAATATAGCCATGTAGAGCTCAGGCGATTGTCTTCCATGACAGCCTCTGCAGATCCATATGGGTCTCTGGAATATTGACCCAAATAGTCCGTGAAAGCCATGGACAATAGTGTCCTGTCTATCCCGGCTCTGGGATAAAAAATATTATCCTTCCACTTTGCAGTGTATTCACGATTAGGCCAGTGAACTTTTTAGAATCACTCCTTTGTCAACACCTACTGTATATAAGAAGTTTAACTGTTACGGGCACACCGGGACATTGTGAATTAACAATTAACATTCCACGCCTTAACCCATCCCAGTCCACATCTCTGTGCTCAGTATTGTACAGCTCAACTGCTACTAGCAATCCACCTAGAAGCTAAATCTCTTAGTGGCTACCTTAGATACCGACTCCGCCTAGGAATCCCTTGCCTTCTCCATTTTCCTAAGGAGACCGACCTTCATAGGGCTCTCCCTTTAGTCTCATAATGGGAACAATCCATTTCATCCTGAATGCGACCTGTGTTCTGCGCATGTTGTACGTACAGAAGAAGTAGGAGCCTGTCTCGTGAGGTGGTGACCGAACGTGTGTGTGTGTGTGTGTGGGTCCTGCAGGCTCTATCAGCGGAGCGGGTCAGCAGGAGCCAGCTCTCCCAGCTGAACAGGAGCCTCCAGCGCCTGGAGGAGGAGCTGAGGCAGGCCCAGGCAGAGCGGGCCACAGCCGAGACAGAGCTGGAGTCCACCAGGGACCTCTGCGTCAAACTGGATGCCAGCAAAGAGGCTGTGAGTTGACAAACTGGTGTGAGAAGCTGTAAATGTGATTTTACTGGTAGTTCTCTTCAGGATACCTGAGATATGTCATAAGTGATCCCAGGTAAAATGGATTGTAAACTCGAACCTGCACCAGCATAATTACCAGAAGAATGAGAGTTTCCTAAAATGCTGTGAGCAGTTCTAAGTCTATTATAGCAATTGAATTATGCAGTCCGTCATTTTTTAAAAGCACCTCAGAAGTCCTGTTCAGCAAGCCATGTTGGTTCCTTTTCAAAACGCGTTCAACAAAAATGTTCTTGTTTTGCAGCTGGTAATATGGTCTGCGTTATTTTCTACACGATGGAAATCTTCCTTTATTTATGTATGTTATTTATGTCAACACAAAAGTCTGTAGCGCAGTGGCGCGAGTGCGGTCGGTGTTGGGGTGTGTGAAACTGTCCTGCAGGGTGGAATTCCCCTCGTGGACGCCGCGCTCCGTGGGGCGGTCCTCACTGTGCCCCCCCCCCGACGCGGCGCCCCGCTGCCTCCTCTGTGCCCAGGCGCTTCGTGACCTGGAGTCCTACCACGCGGACGGCGAGCTCCTCAGGCAGCAGCTGGCCAGCGAGAGGCTGTCCATGAAGAACCTGGAGTCGCTGCTGGTGGCGAACCGGGAGAAGGAATTCCAGATCCAGCTGCACACGCAGGAGAAGCAGACGGAGATCCAGCTGCTCAGGGACAAGCTCTCTCTGGCAGACAGCAAGGCGTAAGCAGCGCGGCCGAGGCCCCCGGGCCCGTCTGTGATCGATGTGGCTAGAAGTGAAGGGATCGGGATCTTAGTAACAACATTGTTCTGTTTTACATGCTAGGAAGAAGGGTTTAGTGTGCAGCTGTTTAGGAAAGTTTCAGATGTATATGAAGTGTAGACAATCTTTTCCAGACACGACTATGTGTCTTAAACTCTTTAAATGTTTGGGAGTGATCAGAAATGAAAGATGGATTGTTCATTTTACCACAAAATGAGATTCTCTGGGGACACATTTTCAGTGTTGTATAGAGCTGTGCTGTAGCCATGCTATACATTTTAATTTGTAAAAATTACAGGTCAAAACAAATTTCCTGTTAGGCTCTATCTTGATTGGGAACCAGTTGGATTTCGAAAGTCCAAGGTTATAGAGCGACCAAGCCTTTATAATGTAGGTGTGGGCTTAGTGTGATGGCAGATGTTTAGGAAAATGTCATCAGTATACATGGTGTAGGGCAGGCAATCTTTTCTGGACATGACTCTGTGTGGGGGAAACTTGCCTTCTTTCCAGAGGTCTGGCAGATGTTTGAAGCAGCAAGGGAGCAGTGGCTGAAGGTATTGATTTTAAAGTAGGGATGCTTTAGGCAGGGGAGTAAAACTGCAGTGGGATCAAAGGGATCCTCCTATGGACTTATGGTACCTGTTGCTGAAAGAATAATGGCTCAGAGAGGTTCGTCAGTTCTGATCTCTGTATTATAGGAACAAGAGTTTCCTTTGGAAAATACATGGACAGCCACTTGAGAGGGAGAGAACCGAATATGATTTTTCTGTTCCTTTAGATTTTTTTATTGATCAGAAACATCTTTCTTTGATTTTTTTCTAAAGATGTGCAGCTTTCATCTATTCGTTTCTGTGCCTCTCATTTCTTCTCTCTGAGTGAACCTCCCACAAAACCTCTTTTGAAGCCTGCTTCTCTCTTTTCTCTTTCTTCACTTTGCTGGGTGTTGTCATCTGCGCAAACAGAGTGACTCAGAGCCGGGAGGTCGCACAGGCCAGGAGCAGAGCCTCACAGCTGGAGGCCGAACTGGAAAAGACGAAACGTCAGCTCTCCACCGAGCGCTTTGAAAGGCAAGCATGCGTCCTGTTCTCATGCCTTCCTGCATGCTGCCCCTGCTTGCAAGTGCCTGCCTTCTTCAGGACCGCCTTAGTGGGTGTGACATTCCCCAACAGACTGTGTCTTGCACTGTGTCAGTGCTCTCACTGTGCAGCAGCTAACTGCCAGCAGTTTTACAGCTCCCCTGCTGTCTTTGAAATGCAGTGTGAGAAATTTGACTAACATGGCACAGTGACAGTCTGTCACAAGCACAGCAGCTACTCAGTCTCTTGTCGCCTGATATTGCACAGCATGTTGAGATTTCAGCATTTTCAGGCTTGTTTTCATGAGTGCGAACAGCTACATCCATCCGAAGGGACTGAATAGCTGTATGAGATTCTTGAATCAGTTAGATCACAATTAATAACCAACATAGCCAAACCAACTAGACAGATGGGAAATCTGAGAAAATGCAAAAATAATGTGATCAAACCTATTCTGTAGAGCATAATTTTAACAGGCAGATATTGGGGATAAGGATAATGACTCTTAATATTTGTTTATGAGAGCTTAATATTTGTTTAGATCTGCATTTCTACAATTCATTGCAAAGTAGTAGAGAAACCTTTTTACGCCTGGACAAATGTGATCAGTTTTTCAAGCAAATCAAAAAGCTAACCGGGAGGGAGAGGTATACACAGGGAATGGATGCTACTATAGCTTCAAGAAGTTTTAAGTGGTTGGAATTCCAGTTTCCCTCAAGTGTTAAGGATTTATCTTGTTTTAGGATGATGTGCAAAACAAAAAAGAAAATTACACTTACCATGTGCTATTACAGTATGTCTTCAGGGGTTGTAGGCAAGCGGTCAAGTGATGAGCACAATTTTTTTTTATTATTATGTGTGGGTGTCGTCTTTGTTTTATTAGTCTGCGGGTGGCATCTCCAGAAGTTTCTGTCCATGTGTTTTGAATTTGTTTGGGACTGTTATTCAGTCCACGAGAAGACATGCCCCTATCCAGGTTTTGCACAGCTTGTGTTTTGATAAACCCAAAGGTAAAAGATGTGGGGGGGTTTAATTGGCTCTCAGCTTGGTTCAGCACCTTGTTGTCCTATGTCGCCGTCAGCGTGGCGGCGTGGCCGGGTGCCAGGGGTGCACCTGTGTCCGCGCAGCTGAAGCTGAGTGGGTGTGTCCTCCTGTCGCCCCACCAGGGAGCGTGCCGTGCAGGAGCTGCGTCGCCAGGGCCTGTCCTCCTCCTCCCCCACCCGGCGCTCGCTCAGCCCCCGGGCCTCCTGGTCCCCCGAGCGCTCCTACCTCTCTCCCCTGGACCGCTCCTCGCTGGACAGGTCGCCGGACAGGTGAGGCCAGACTGGCCCTAGAGTCTCTGCCACTCTTCCGGCAGCATTGGAGTGGCATGCCTGCTTCAACCAGCCATTTATAGAGCCTTCATCTTTTTGTACCCTTACTTTGTCCACTTATTCCAGCAGTGGTGCCAAATCGCTGGACTAGTTTCGTACGCGGCAGTGTTCCTGTGTGCCAGAGCAGTGTCTGCTTTGTTCCAGATAGATTTCCTCATTACTGAAAGTCACTGGATTGGCCTTTTCCATCACTCTTTTAAAGTTAGATATTTAAATCATTACTGTCTAGCCTGGGCTGTAGAACAGCATAAAAACACAATTAACCACAATGAGAAATGGTATTTATCCAGATATTTGAAATCTCATTTGGTCAAGATGCAAGAATTAGGCTTTGCTTTGTCTGACCTGAAGATGTATGTGTCTTTTCTTTAGGAGTGTGACATTCAGGGATTTCTGAGAGTAAACCGCTCCTACCTCACCCTCCACGGACAGCTGGAAACACTCCTCAGTTATCCTCAGTGGAAGCAACCACTGAATTACTGTGAAGAACCTTTTAGTTCACCATGTCTTTTTCTAGCCCTTTACAAACAGAAATTGACTTGAATCAGAAGCCTAGGATTAGCACATTCACTGCAAATAAATTAGTTAAACATTGTTTAGAGATTTTGAACATTTTTGTTTTACTTTTAGGTATTTTAGTGAAAAGCATTCTTACTTTGAATAAGATTGTAATCATTGTAATCCAATGTTCATCGTGTCTGCCTTTCTAGCACAACAGAGGGGCAGAATCAACCACATGTTCCTTTGTGAGAATGTTGTTCTGAATTCTATACTGTACCTCTCACCAGTTCCTCTTTCTCGGCACTTGGGATGTGTGTGGCAGGTATTTTACCAGTAAAGAACTCCAGTTAGGAATCGCTAAGCTTGCAGTGACAGGCCCTGTGCCATCTGGGGAAGATAAGGACCAGTGTGTGCACTGCTCTGACACTCCCATCCATGTGCCAGGCCCATACAGCATTCGCCATGCTGCGATCTTCACAGCGCTGCTAGCATTCTCTTGCATCTTGCCCACAGCACCACACATACCCAGCACCCAGGTCTCCTGGGTCACAGTTTCCTGCCCGTCTCACACCCCAGCCAACCCTGGTGTCTGCCAGTCAAGTGGTTGCCACAATATGAGGAATCCCAGCTACAGAAAACAACTGTTGACCACATCTGCTCTGCAGGCCTCAATCTGTGCCCTAGACTGGCAGCTCGTTGGGTCTGGAGCCCAACACATTAATGTGAACTAGGGTCCAGATTGCAAGCAGTTGTATTTTTAACAGATGACTAGGAGTTATGTAAGTAGGGCTGTAAATTGTTGACCAGCACATTTTGCCCCTCGACCTCTGGGCTCAGAGCAAACACAAGTAAATGTTGGCTACTCAGGCTTGTCATTTCGAGGTTCATTACCTATGCTAACTGGAAAAGAGACAGTGGACATCAGGTATTCTGTAATCACTCTACTCACAAATGTAGCCAAGGCCTGAAGGCACCTGCTAACCCACTGGAGCTGCTCATTGATGCTGTGCCAGGACATTCCCTGCTCTTGCCTCGCCCAAGGCATTCCTGGCTCTGTTGGCACCCTTTACTCCTTCCCCAGCTCTGCCCAGAGCTGGTCCACTGAAAAAAGCCCTGATCTTCCATATTAAAGGCATCGTCAGAGCCTTCAAAACCTTTGAATTTGTTTTAGCAGCATGAAAAATATGCATCCATAGGCAGCCATTCTACCGTATTGCCTACAATGGAAACTACACTACAGAGACTGACATGAGTAATAAAGTATTAGATTGATTCAGTAAATTCTTCATATTTACAACTTTTTGAAATCTACATAAGGGAAGTAACTGAATAATTATTATAGAAATGAAATAGAAATAGGTGTACACGTGCTGTTAATTCACATGCTGTAGACAGATAAAATAGAAATCCATTCATCCATTTTCTAACTGCTGCATTGAATTCAGGGGGATGCAGAGCCTATCCTGGCAAGCTAAATTAGAAATAAAAAAAAATACTTTTATGAAATGTGCAGTTGTGTTTGAGGCTAAATAATTTTCAAATAAATTTGTAAACATGCATCACTTTGATGAAACGGTATCCAAAAAGGATCACAATCTGTCTTTGGTGGACATTTCATGTTAGAATGGACTGGTCTTAATACATATGCCAGCTATTCTATATTCTTTAACAAATGCATGGTTGTGTTGTGTTTGTGAGTTTACAATACCAAGGTATTACTTTTTTGGACAAATAATTAGAATTTCAACTTTTTTACATTTTTATATACAATTAATAATTATAGATTAAAAGGTAAAATGTGAACATTTAATAAAAAATAATTTTATTATACTCTTATTATGTAAGAACCTTGTGTCTGCGTATTCCTCTAAAGTTAAGCATGTTAAACAGAAACATGGTTGTTAGTTTGTTTCCAGCTCAGGTTCTGTATTTTATTAAACGGGAACTGCAACCCTATTTTTATATTTCAGGATTAGGAAGAATCGGCATTGATGAGTGCATTTCAGACCACAATAAAAGTAAACTGTCCACAGTAACTTGTAAAACCTCCAAATTACATCACAAAATAGTTTCAATAATTTTCCAGGTGTTGCCCAGCACCAAGTTCTGTGATTCAGAACGAGGCAACAAACCTTCCGGTGACGTGAAGCAGCCCTTTTCATTGTAAACAAGAAATCTTGTGAATACATCTTTAATCCAATAGAAAAATTGCTATTGATTTCAATAGTTGATAAACGGAACTACTTGTTAACTCTACATGCAGATCACGTTGGAAAATTTCTGTGGTGAAATGTCTGCTGTACAACCTGTTCTTATACGCTCGTACGTCCCGTTACATTAGTCATTACAGTGACTAGTGAGCAGGAAGGGCAGCTTCATGTCGCAATTCGTGCAACTCTTGCTCTCGCCCGTGGCGATACCAGGGGCTTGCAACAACATGATGACTTACAGTATTTTTGACAATGCTCACGATTTTGTGCTTACTTAGAAATTTGTGAAATATCTCTAGAACGTCAATGAATATTTTTTGTAACCAAGATTTAATAACCGGTCTGCATAATAGAGATTGCTGTTCCCCTTTAACTGAGTATCATGCTGACCCTGGCTGCTGGACTGCGGGACAAGCTAGCTAGGTTGCGGCAGCTAAGGACGTGATCATCCACCTGCCTCTCTTAGCCAGCTGCTGCTGCAATATGAATCACCTGGACGTTTGAAGAACCTGGAGTCAGTTTGCAGCCACACCTGTTGCAGCTGCTCCTCAGAATAAATACTCGGACCTGACAGAGCTCGGGGCTCTGTTATTGAGTGTGGACAAGAGCCCCTCGCGCATCATGTCTGCGTTTGTTTTCTGTGTAGTGCCTTGCTTGATTCTCTCCCCTGTTTGTTTTGACCTTATCTCCCACACTTTCCTTTTCCTGTGCTACAAACCCTGCCTGATTGTCTCAGTCCTGTCTTGTGGATCGCCTATTTTGTGTTTTTGCTCCGAGTCACCTGGCTTCGACCTCTGCTTACTACTACTACGAATCCAGAATGGGTTTTCCTGCACCACGCTCTGTTTCCAAAGCCTGCTACATCAACACGGTCTCTTGGGCACACACCCTCCTCAGCCCTGTTTCTGTGACGCCCAGCACTGTCTGGCTGTTTGCTGTCAACACCTTCCTCGGTGTTCCCCTGGGTCTCCGCTGCCTCTCACTCAGTAAGTAGGTTTTCACGTTCCTGGATTGCCATGTTCTAAGGCATTGGGCCTTGGGGAAAAATCTATTTTTTTGATAACCCATCATCTTTACGGCAGTGGCCTACCGCAAACTGCACAGCGCACATGCAGTCACTGGGCTCATACGCTAGCAGTTCTTCTCTGGCTAGTAGGACCCTTCCTCTGACACCCAGCCATCCCAGGATAGCAAGTTAACTTGGAAGCTGGTGGGAGGATTGAAGAACGCCTGCATCTCGGTGCCAAGACAGATTGGTCACACTCCCCCAAGCGCTGTCTCTCCTTTTCAGGATTTGGCACATTTCCCATGAGGTAGCAATTGCATTTTTTTGCAGGGAACCAAGGTTATAATAACCTAATGTTCTCAGCACAGGGGAAGAATACATTGCTTACTCATCAGCGACTGAAAAAAGACAGTGACATCCCTGTGTAAGAGATTTCCCTTTGATCTTTTTCCATGCTATAAAGTCAAGCTATGGGCAGTATGTGGAAGAAGAGGCGAGGAGATGTATAACTGTGGCCGACATAAAGAGCACTTTGTACTAAAGCACTATTGAAGATGCATTAAAAGAGTCAATAGCCTTTGTTGTCACTCCCATTTTGCCATTGTTAGATTTTGACAAAGGAATCAAAGCTCTGATTCTGGCACAATCGCCAACATGCGGCACTCCTCTGTGGTCCTGCCTGGTTTATTTCAAGGCACATGTTTCCTGCGCTTTGCAGCAATGTCTGTGTAGCCTGCTGTCAGCCAGTCACATCCCGGGCTAGGAAATAAGATTCAGATTATGGTTTGTCAAGACCTCAGGTGTTTCTAAGGGGCAGGATGAAATCTGATCAAATTAAAATCAACACAAAATAAAGTTTGGAGAAATGTAAAAAAAATGATGGACATGCCAGCTCAGGTACACAGTACTTTTACAGAAGTCGTTGCTTTTCGATGAGGTTTTCGAGAATTTTCCAAAGGTTTCAGGTGACAATCTTGCAAATGGGAAACCTGACGTTTAAAAGATAAGAAGGACATCAGCCTGGGAACAATCAGAACTCCTGAGAGCACTTGCTCTTGTACAGGGTCATGTTTCTTGAAATAAGCCAATGTATCAGCTTTGGCAATGTGGCAGGCCAGCTTTTTACAGATTCCCACAGCCCTGTGTGAAGAAGTGCCTCCTGTTCTCAGGCATTTCCATGAAGGTTCTGCTCGTGTCTTTAGTTTGTAGTTCACCATTCATTCTCAATCATTGTTCATTCTGAAAAGATCCATTTCATTCATCCTCCCTGAGGAATCTAACAAACGGGATGAGAAAAAAACAATATGGCACAAAAGCATGGAAAGTGCCTCATGGCCTCAAACTCTTCCGGTTATAATAATGTTTCTGTAGATTGCACCCTGATCTACACACTGCATTGTTTTATTACAAAATAAACTTTAATTTATAAAAGGTCTTAAAGAGGTGATGGTCCTTTATCAATGGGTGCAAGTGGATGCTGGGGCTGGATGTCCACAATGAAAGAGTGTTACAGCGACGTGAGCTGGAGCAGATGGTGGTAAAGGACCCTACGCCGTAGTTGATCAGAGTTCAAGGAACGAGGGTCAAGTAAACCAGGTGTACTTAGCCGAAACGCGATATCCAGAATCGTGGTCGAGAGGAAGCGAAGTCCTGGGAACCAGAAATACAGGAGAGGGCTCGAGAGAGTTACTCCGAAGGCTTTGACATGAGGCTCGACAGTGAAACCCCATACTGAGCACCGAGGTAACTGTGAACACTTCTAAAGTAGTCTAAAGCTGGGAGGTGTGGTGGTGATCGAAAGGGCTGATTGGATAATCAGATCTGATGTCTACCTCTTGTGGAGTTGGTAGAAGCTTGTCTCTGATTACAGGATACTGTGACAAAGAGTCCCTCCAAACCCTACCACTTCCCCTGTCCCGGCTCTGAAACTGCAGTCGTCCAGTCCTCTTCGGGAGCTCAAAGGAAGAGGGTTTTCCTCCGTAGTCCCTGTCCAGGGCCCATGGTCCCTTCCAGTGCTCTTTCACCGTGAAGAAGCCCCATTTGGCAACGTTACGCTTCATCCTCCTTCTGAAGTTCGCAAGGATCCTCTCCTCCAGCTCTCTTGCTCACTCTGTGTTGTGTTGGATGACAGTGTTCCTCACTTTCCACAGTCCTTGTTTTATTCGGGACGCCAGCAGCCAGAGCAGGTAATGTGTCCCTTTGTCTACAAACTGTATATAGCACATGGGTTGCATTGATGTAGGAGGTGGGAAAACGAGTTGAAGGGAGGAATATCTCATAAAAGCTACTGGAAGCATAATGTAACTAGAAATAGGTTTATTCCATGCTGAAAAGAGAAGAAAGAAAACAACTTTTCGGCCGTGGAGTCTTCTTCAGGCGTGAGAAAGACAGGGCAGTAAGCAAAGGTAATGTAGCATAGGAGAAAAAAACATAGGAGAACAACTACCCACCTGAACTAATGTAACTAGAGTCATGTTCCAAGTCTTAGGGCTGGAGGAAACTAAAGGGAATCACGTTAAAGTCTGAGGGTTTTAAAGCAAGATAAGCACACCAGCTGGGTATGAGCTAAACATTATTTCCAGACCCACAGACTGCGAGGTTCATATTCTTCCATTTTATGAGTCTGAATGATTTTTCGTGCCCTATTGGAATAAATTACAATGAACTATTTTAATCTGCACTACCAGAAACTGTGCCAATGTTTGCATAGAGCAACAGTAAGGTTGTATTGTAAGTATGGTAATGAACTGTTAATTACTGGTGTGAAATATAATGACCAGGTCATACCTATGCTAACAGACACAATTTTTGTCACTTGCAAATGTGGAAAAGAGTAAAGTTCACCGCACAAAAGGCCACATACATACATCACACAGAAGGCGCTCCCGTCTACAAAACCTTAAAATATACATAACTATCATTCGCCATCTCTAACCTATCAAGGAAACATTTATGTTTAAAGTGCCAAACAGCTGAAGCCGTTCATGTCGCTGTGCAGCCAGGCAGTTCAGAAAACAAGGTTGCTACAGCGGACTTCTCTAGGTGAGCCTGCGAGTGCACCTGGCGAGGACACCCGCACGTCTTGTCTTCGATTGGCTCCTTCTGCCACCTCGGACCTGCCCACGACAGCCCACGGCAGCTGCACCAGCAGATGGACTTTGAGGTGAGAAGAAAGCGCGTTCCCCGGAAAAAAAAAGAAAACAGAAATGAGCTGAGACGGTCTCTTAACCGGAGCGTCGAGCGAAAAGGCAAGTCACGGGTTTTTATGTTACTTGGAAAAATGTTTCTTGCACTAGTTAGGACGGTAAACAAAAAAAAAAACTACAAAGTTAATGCTTTCCACAATTATTTTTTTAATAAAAATATGACATACTTGAGTAGAGGATCCACAGTATTTCAACGCAAAATGACAGCACGTTCGAGCCGTCAGTTGTGCTTGGAGCACATTTATTAGTATTTATTATTCGGTGAAAACCCAATGCTATCGAGGTCGCTCGTGGTGCTAAATCATCGCCGAAATAAGTCTACGCCTGAAATAGCCCGGCGCCTGCATGCAAACACGGACTTCAGGATAGAAGTACAACGCAGAATTAACAAGACTATTGCGCCATGTACAGTAGTTGCGTGTATGTAGGCTCTTTTCGTCTAGGTGACAGCCCCCTACCTGCTAACTGACAGAATAACTGATCAGGTCCAGCAGAAAACGGGGGTCAGGTTAGAAAGGCTGCTGTATCACTTTAAAATTATTTTGGGCATCGATTCCAGTTTCTCTTTACTTAATTCTTCTGAGTTTGAACAAGCATCTTACTCGCATTCGCGTCTTTTCTCGCCGTAATGTTGAATTTGCTGCTCTCTAAAGCGAGTAGTTACCGAGACAAAGGAATATTCTGTACAAAAGACTCAGGACACGTTTGGAGACTATTAATCATTATTTATAAAGGACAGGTACAGTACATCCTTAAATTGTCGTACTGTACTGCAGGTAATTTCACATTCATGGTATTTCACAATGCTGGAGCAAGATAATAATCCTACTCTAAAATGAAAAATAAAAATACAGTGTCCCATAATACGGACAGAAATGCACTATCTTCCAGGCAGAATAATCAGTCAAGCCTTCTCAGATTCCTTTATTTGTAAAGAGGAACAAATAATTGTGAGAACAAAAGGTTCAGCTCTTTTTCAGCTCCTGGCTTCCATTGTTTGGGAATTATTAAAAAAAATATTTGACAGCAAACCTACAATAACGAGATAAAGGATTGCACTCTATTTATAATCACCCTTAATCTCAATATGTGGGTTTATTTGGGATTTGTACAAGTGAAGTTAAGTCTCTTCAAAAATCCTGTCATTTAATAAACCACTCACTGGCCATAACCCCGTTCTTTAGAGAAAGTTATTTTCAAGTAATTGTATATCACATAAGTCTTATGTATTTTTCAATATATTTTATTGGCATTTTATTATCTGTGTGATGACACACTTTACAGAGATGACAGTATTGGACAGTAAGATCGGTAAATCTTTAAGACCACGGTGTTGTTGAGTTTTAATGCCACGTCTGTTATCTTTATATTTTCCTGTATCAGGTCTCACCAGCACTGAAACTGGGTCTGTCCCAGCTGGCACTGTTGACTATACTTATCACTGACAGTAGAGGGACAATTTGCTATATCTTTCCATTACACAGCATTTTATAACAGTGTGGGTCTAAACAAAGCTGCAGAGGATTTGACATGAGGAAGCATTTCTGTTCTGTCTTTAAGCATCTAATATAGCCTACTAATGATCATGGTCATCGGTGTGGCTGTTTGATAGCTAGCACCATACTGATGAGCAAGAAATTGACAAATCAACAGTCTTGATATGTTGTTTTCCTTGCATAAATATCAACAGGTTTCATCACAGTTGTGAAATGGAATTTTAGAACCTGTCACAAGTTTATTGCAAACCAGGACATTAGAGCTATACCAAGGAACTTTTATTTATGTTGTTCCTGAGCCAAGCGCTAGCATGTCCTCTGGCGATGTGGAGGGTGTGTAACCTGTAGGTTGGTCTGTCCTCTACACACATCCCGCAGGAATAAAGTGGACTTGCACTAATTCCCCACCTGTAGAGGCTGTCAGGACATGGACCATGACGAGTCCTAAAGCAGTTGAGGGTGGGCCGCTCTTTTCTTGGAAGGTGAAAGCTGGGAGCTTGTTGGGTTGGGCATGTGATGAGGAGCTTGGTTGTTAAGTCCGGTGATTCCCATTCTTGAGCCCAGGTGGAGCTGGCTTTAAAGTCTTGCTGGGGAGGGTTTCTCCAGACTGGCTGTCTTCTTGGCAGAGGTGTCTTTGTTGGATTAAATACTGTGTGGCAATGAGTAGTGGCAGGTACAGACTGTCCTTCTGAGGATCGTGTGGGTTATTCCGAGTCGTCAGATGTGTGGGGTGATGTTTGCTAGAAGGGGAGTGGGTGGAGTGCTGGGTCCCAGTGAGGATGGTGCCGTTCAGCTGGGTGTCTGCTCTGTTAGTATGTAAGATTTTGCCCAGAGAGGGGCCCAGTATTCTACTGCAAGGAGCTCACTCCTCATCATTTTCTATCCTTTATTTCATTCTGTTGATGTATGATTTCGCACATCTGATGTTGTTTTGCACATTACCTGCTACCTGTTGTTGTTTTGCACATTGCCTGTTGTTTCTGTCTTTCTTTTCTTATACAATTGTATTGTTGTTTTTTGGTACTGTTTATCATCTGAGAGCTAGCTAAATAGCATTTCGTTATACCATATACCTGTATATGAGTATAATGACAATAAACTTGAACTTGAACTTGAAAGACGGTGCAAGGCCCTTGGTGGGTGGTAGTGGCAGCATCCTAGGTTGTACCAGATCAGATTATTCCTTGTATTACTCCTGGCTGCTGTTGTCTTTAAGTGCTCCTGGATGATCAGTGTCCAGCCTAGGATTACTCCAAAGTATGTGTATGCAATTTCTGGTTGTTCATCTGAATGTTGAGCTTCTTTGTAGCTTTTGCAGACTGGCGGTGGAATAGACTGGATACTGTTTTTGAGGGGCTTGGTTTGAGTCGATATGTGAGGCAGTACTGTTCGCGTTTTTGATTTGTCCTCATTTAGGACCTGGTCCAGGGTGTCAAACTGTGGGGGGCTATATGCAGATTAAACAGGGTGGGAGCCATCACTGATCCCCGAGGGAGTCCATTTGTCTTCCTGACCGAGGTGAACACTGAATCATCTGTTGCTCAGCTGAGTTTGGAATATTTTGGTGGACCAGGGGGCAGGGCCCAGCGACATCTTTAAAAGAAGACCAGAGTGCCAGAATGTGTTGTAGGCTGCCGTGAGCTTGAGGAACACAGCACCTTACTTCAGATTTTTCTGAAAGCCATTTTCAATAGTGGTGAGGACCACTACCTGTTCTGTTGTGCTGCATTTCTCGTGGAAGTCAGCCTGGTGCACACTGAGGACTTCTTCAACAACTTGTCGCAATCGTCATCCCTCCTCTTAAGAGTGCTCCGACCCTTTCCTGTTTTAGTTCATTATGTGCACCTGTCCCTTGTTTTCCTTGTTATTATTTAAAGCCTGGCACTCCCACTATACCCCACTCTTCATTGGAAGACAGTCCCCCTGGAAGACCGCCTACCAGCAGGTCCAGGAGGGACTCGACAGCATAGGCTTCATCACGGCGTCCTGACCTGCTGAGTCCGGGGCTCGGAGCGCCTGGCCTCGTTACTGGTTTTAGCCTCCTGGTTCCCTGTCCCTGTTCCTGTTCCGGATCCCGTTCCGGTTTTAATCTTGTCTGTCTTGGATTGGATCTCCCGGCTCCTGGACCCTGGACTGTGTCCCAGTTTCCCCTTTGGACTACCTTTGGACTTGTTCACCTGCGTCACGCACCCTGAGCACCAGATCATAGCCGTCATGCCCCCCTGTGTGTCATCCCATCCTGCTCCTGCTGTGTTTCCCTAGAAGTCTTTTTCCAGTCACGTCTGGATTATATCGTCTGCATAGGGTCCAAAATATGCACTATACAGGAGTCAGGACACGGCTCCTGTGACACAACTGATGTTAAGCGCTGTTGGAGACTGACATTGGGGACATTGGAGGTCTTTTCCAGGTTAATGTATGGTGATGGTCTTTGCTCTTCATCATATGTTTGGGATGGTGTTGGAGTTCATGACCAGCAGACTAACCTCTAACAGAAACTTCAGGAGAGGAGCCTCAAAGAATCCTGGTCCAAGTCCCAAAGCCAAGTAGATAATCAGAAAGGGAACATTCATTTAGTATGAGACCAACCTAGTTTCAGGTGGAATTCATAGCTTTATTTAGCTGGTGAACCCCATTACTTAGTAAATCTATTGAGCAGTTCTCAAGTTTCACATTCTAAAGTTAAAGTTTGTCTCTCAAACCTTATCACTGTTTGTAATGAATAATTTGAATAAAATTCATATGTACAAGCAGTCTTAAAATACATATGTAAAGCAGTCTCAGCTACAAAGGGATACTCTTATGTTTAGCACAGACCTCTGATAACATCATCAAAACAAGGGGACATCCAAAAAGCCTAGCATGATCTGTTTAATGATAGCAGTAATTTGTTTAACAGTATTCTGTATGAGAATGTATTATGTGTCAGAGGGCAGTGATGGAGCAGTTGGGTTGGTTGTTGACTCTACGTTTCAAGTGTACAACAGTTACATTTAAAAGATGATCTTAACATTCCTGTCTTGTGTAGGGAGGTAGAATGAAAACAGACATTTAAGTGGCCTTTAAGAATGTGGCAGCCAACAAGCACTAGATTGCTTTCCTGAAAATGCAGGCTCTGTGTCTTCAGGGGCTTAGACAGAACATACAAGAACGGGAGCACCTCAGAATCAAATCATTCAGCAGAAGACAAGGGAACCTGACTCACGAATTCAAAATCCTCTTAGGCCTTGACTTTTTCAGAATAAAAACCCCGGGGGCATTAGTGGAAATTAAGAGGAAGCTAATTTAAAACTGGGAGCAGGAGACACTTCTTTACACAAAGGGTTGTTGGAGTAAGGAACAAGCTGCCCAGCCAGGCTGTTGAACCAGTGCAATCATAAGTATGGAGAAGCCAAATGAGCCCGAGAGGCTGAATAACTTCTTACATTGGACACCATCCACCCATCCATTTTCTAACCCCT